ACGAAGGTCAGTCCGATCGTTTGGGCAGTCACGAACCGTAGCATGCATAGTTAACACGTTTGACTATCATTTATCACTTCTTTTCGCCAGGAATGCCAAGGACGGAATTGGCAATTTCTATATAAATAAATGTGCCAAGGATTGCGCGCGCTAACATGCTGGAAAATTTTCTTAAAATAGATTACATAAAATTCTCAAGTAAAAATTACAGATTTAACTCTATTTTTTTTATTATGATTTAATAAATAAATTCGTGAGTTATGCTTTTTTTTTCTTCTTTCTTCACTAGAGAAGCATTTTAGATGTTTTTTTTAACTTTTCGATCCCCGAGATATCGGTTGTCCTACTTTCAAGCGCGCTTCCGTTCGACGACCCGTGTACCGTGGAAAAAAGAACGTAAAAAGGCGGAAATCTGTACAACGTATCGCGCATGCAGTAACCTACTGACTGAGTCCAAGGTATACGTGACTTTCCAACGGATAGCTATCCAACAGCGTTAGCTTAGGCCGGCGAACTTCCCAAGGTAAATAATGGTATTCAGGCGTGGGCCGAATATAGTCGGCGGCCGCATTTATCCTGGTAAACGTTGGATCTCTAGGCGCTATCCATCACATTGATGAATCGTTCACGCCGATGGGGCTAGGCGGCCGGCCGCGGCCAGGGCCACGCAGTTACGCAGGGCTTAAGAGTTTTCCCGGTAGCCATCAGGCATAGTTTGGCCGAAAGTAAAAGCGCCGCGCTCATACGTGCGGGTTCTCACAACGACGGTGTCCGGTTACACATAGGTGACACATCCTTCTGACAACCGTTATTCGCGAATTCCGCAGGGGGTAGTTCAAACTGCGGAATTGCGTCGTTTCGATAACATCGTGTGAATAGCTTTAAGCTGTTCGAACATGTAGACGTCTATCTAGAATTTTGATGCCGAAGAAAGTCGAGAGCATAAAAAGTTTGCGCACAATTGAGATGAAGGATCAGTCATTCTTATACTGCGGTGTAAAGTAAACTGTACGATTCTTTGCAAATCAGTCGATGATTAAATTGTCAAGGTTGGTACAATGGTGCAGGTTCAAACCGATGATTAGTACCTCACAATTCATCGTCAACCAATATTGTTTCGTGATACTAGATGCTAGCCGCTTTCAGTAAGCGTACCACCGGAAGTAAATACCATGCTTTATTCAAAGCTCTGTAATAAGCACGATTACCGCAACAACAATCTCGGCCAATCGGAAGTCCTATATAACCATTGTCTCGTATGGAGCTGCTGTACGCAATTAAGTAAGTTCTCGAGCGGGTTGTGTATGGGCGGATGGAGGTGTAGAAATGCGGTGCGATCGATCAAGTGGAGCGATGGAGCCGATGCCGCTTGTTATCGGCGACGCGAGTGTCTTTGGAAATATATTGAGTTTTTTTTCTGCGCGTTTTTTACGCGTCGCGACGCGAAAAAAGGATCCGTGCACGAATCCTACAGATGACGTTTTTGATAGATGGTGTTTCAGCAAGTATCGGAGTTACTGTCGCAATATACGTCAACATTGGTTTCGAAAGTTCTGACAACTTGATTCTAAATTAATACTCCATTAAGGAAAATTCTATTATAGCTGAGGGGCAATTTTTCGATCTGTTTCTATCTCAGAAGCTCAATTTACTGAGAATTTCTCTAATTTTCAGTCTCGTGTTCATTATTTAAACACAATTTTTCTCATTACGATTAATACGATTTTTTGTTTTTAGTATCGTAATTTTCTTTAAAAGGAAGTATACGAAACTTTTGCAGCATCTAATTATAATCTGGCCGGAAGTCGCGGAGTTAGGAAACCGTGACTGAGATTTATTTTTCACATGCGACTGACTGGAAAATAGGGCACCGACGCACGGCGGAAGGTGTGCGAGCATTGTCACACAAGTTCACTCCATCCCCCGGTAGCGAACTAGTCGCTGTTGGGTGCAACAGCCCGAAGCTGCCGGGAGCAATGTAGACAGACACTCGGCAGGCCAGATAGCGCGCGACAAAGTCAGGACTTGGCACGACAGTTCCGCAGCTCGTGCACGGGATGTGTCGCGTCCTCCCCCACCGTCCTCCTACAGGAAGGTGGGGACCACGACCGAAGTCGGTATGTACACCCGGTACCCGGTGGGAACACGTATTACCACGACGTGTCAATTGTTCGGGGAAGACCGGAAACTTGCCGTCCCTTCCTGTAATCCTGTCCGGGACGTGCCGAGTTCCGCGGGGATGAGTTTTCAAGGCCGGCGAAGGTTCTCCAATAATGCCCCGCCGTCGCTCCGCTCGTTCAATACGCGTCGCTTCATATTCGCGTTCGTTTCCATTCGGCGTTTGGGGTCAGCCGATGGGGAAGTTCAGGCACGAAACGAGGTCGGCCGAGACCAAAAGTCCGCGGAGTTCTTGTTTCCTCCCGTCTCTCTATAAGTTTCCGAACTCGTATAAGGTATGTAAAGTAACGTGGAAGTGGTGCGAACTAGAACGAGTGTTAAACGTGAAAGTTTTTGCAAACGATACAACGGAGATAACCGTGGAAATGAAATAAAATAATAGGATTTAGGAAACCGAGGTATAGTTAAAAGTTAAGGTTACAGAAGTTCCGCGGGAATACGCTGCGTGTCACGTTGTCCTGTGTCGGCTTTGTAAACCGCGGTCACATCAACGAACGGCTGCGTACGCGTCTGAATTTGCGCGCGCGCACACGCGTACGCATACGCGGGTCATCTTGCCGCGGGGGTCCGGCGTTAATTAAGTAATTTCAATTAAAATTCTTCAAAGTTCTCTCGCCGCTTTTGCACGCTGTCACGGCCGGGCCGACATCTTTTCCGCGGGAGTTGGATGAGCACTCGTCACCGTAAACTAGCCTTACCAACCTTGCTCCAACTTCCGCACCAATTTGTATGCAAAACTTGCCGCGTGAGCACGTAGCCATATTAGGAAGGCACCGGTCGGCCAGCGCGGCCTCCGCCCCCGCGCCATGTGGACGACATCGAAATGATTTGTCGTTACAAAAAAAAATACTTTGCTTCCAGAGCCCGCGATTGCTTATAACGCGGATAATAAACCGCTCCATCAAAATTCCGATGTGATAGCCGTACGAAACGCTCCAATTATTCATCTTGAAAATAAACATTTTCAAGTGGCGAGAAAAACAGATTGCTTCAAATTACAATCTTTCCGTTTTTATTATTTTTATAACGGTTATTTGTTTTTGTTCGAAATTGGAGAACTTTGATAGAAAAATGTTATCACCTGAAACGTGCCTACTTGAATAAAAAGATTTTATTTTTGATCGAAATTCTAAATTTATGCGTCTGTTATTTGAAATAAAGATTAATGAAAATGAAATTAGTGTTAATCATTAAATTAGTTTTCTTTTTTTTGACAACCTATTTTTTCTTATTAATTATTTTAAAGAGAGTCGTTTATTTTTTCTGTTTTAAAATACTTAAAACACTAAATTTAAATATTTTATAATTTGTCTTTACATTTTCTAGTACATATTATTTATTGCAAATACTGTTTATTATTAATTTTTAAAGTCCACTTAAAACGACTTATATAATACAGGTCAGATTTTTGTATAGAATTCCGTTTTAATTTTATATGCTATGTATTTTGACACACATGTATATATTAATATACAATTTATGCGCATATTGTATTACGCGCCTCTTCCTCAAGATAACAACGTAGTAGTCCTCAACTCTATGCCGGGGCGCCACAAGTTTCAAAGTCAAAATGCCCCCCATCCATGCCTGTCCTTCACCTATTGTCATTCCTTTTTCTTGTGCCGAGGTAGTCACATCGTCCACAGTGAAACAGTGAGAAAAGTGGGAAAAAGAAAACGCAGAGACGAAAATTCTGAGGAAAAAGAGAATAGAATGGAGAAAAAAATGAAGAGATTATTGAAAGAATTCCGGAAATATAATAAACACCGGGATCGGAAGAAAGTTTCGAGTAAGTATAGCAGGTTTTAAATAATCGGGGAAATATTGCTAGGTTCCTTATAGGAAAAAGTAGGCATATGTATGCACGCCGTATTTCTCTTAGTAGAGAAAGAAGTAACGCAATCTATGCGTGAATGCAGACACGTGACCGTCACGTCTTAGGCGCTAACCTAGAGACGGGCCACAGGCTCTAACCTGTTGGCGAGCATTGTCTCAGACAAGAGACAATGACGCAATTTATGCGTAACGGCGGACACGATCGTCACGTCTTGGGCTCTAACCTATAGACGAGCCACAGGCTCTAACCTGCTGGCGAGCTTTGTCTCAGACGAGAACGATTTAATCGTTCGAACGAATTAATCTCCTTTTAAAGGAGATATTTATATATATATATATATATATATATCTTTTTGAGTCTGCATGGGCATTCGAAGGAGTGTATACGGTGTGTATGTATATGGTATAACTGTATATGTGTGCATATATATATATATGGTATATGTGTATGTATGCATCGGTAGTTCAGTGGTAGAATGCTCGCCTGCCATGCGGGCGGTCCGGGTTCGTTTCCCGGCCGATGCACCATGCGCGTGTATGTGTGTGTATGTTGGCGTGTACGGGTATGTATACAACGACGGAAAATTTTTTTTTTTTCCTGATGTCTGCTGTGGTTATTAGGGAACCATGACGCAAATGAAAAGAGCTTTAGCAAAAAAGACCAGGCACGCGTTAGCGATACAGAGTCAGATTGTCAGGCTCGGAACCCGTCGAATGACTCATCGGGTTCGTTGCTGGGCTTAGATGACTATCATAGCCGATCAGTAACGGCGGACACGATCGTCACGTCTTGGGCTCTAACCTATAGACGAGCCGCAGGCTCTAACCTGCTGGCGAGCTTTGTCTCAGACGAGAACGATTTAATCGTTCGAACGAATTAATCTCCCTTTAAAGGAGATATTTATATATATATTTTTTTGAGTCTGCATGGGCAACCTACCCCGGAAGGGAACTTCGAGCCTATAGCAAAGGAAGTCGCGTCTGAGATGGGGCCACCGATGCCTTCGTCGAATTCTGGGCCATCAACTCAGACGAGTCATACGGTGACAGACCAAGCAGAAATGGCTACGGAGGAACAAGTTGCAAAAGCAAATGAGGATATACCCTCAAGCGTCCAGAGCGTGGATACAGTTAAATCTAGTGATGAGGCGCTTATAGAAGATTTGGAAGTGGAACTTCTGGAGGCCATTGGAAACCGAGTGGCGGCAGAAAGGGTACTGGCACCAGCCATTCCAAGAAGTGTCGCGGTCCGCTTGGAAGATATTTTAAAGAAAGGGCTGCCAAAGGAGAAAAGAGAAAAAAAACCGTTAAGGATTATGCACCTCCAAGAAATTGCATTCTAATCGATCCTCCTGAGCTCAATGAAGAGCTTAAGGCCACTTTAAATGAAGCGGCGTTAAAGCGTGATAAGCGCATTATAGAAAAGCAAAAGAAAATAACTGCTTGTCTCGCTTTGATGTGTAGTGCTATTGCAGATATAATTCATAGCAAAAGATGATAACGGAGATCACAAAATATCAACTTCCCAAGTTGCCTTAATAAAGAAACTTAGCGAGGCTGCGCGCTTAATGGCCGACGTACAGAGAGATGAGTCGTTGACTCGTAGAAGTCTAGTTCTAACTGCTATTAGTAGTTCGCAAAAAGAAACGCTAGAATCTTCAGTGTCTGACGAATGGCTGTTTGGCACAAAACTGGGAGATCGGATTAGAGCAGCCAAGACGATTGAAAAATCTGGCAAGGATCTGAAAACGAAGCCTAAAGTCACTGCGAGGACAAAAAACTTCAAGGCCCCGCCTCGACGCCAGCCCTTCAGGACCATGACATCAGGCGGGTACCGAAACAAACCCTACCAGAACCAGTTTGGCAGGAAGAATTGGTCCATCCAGAATGCGAGCAATCGCAACAGCTTCCAATCGCAGCAGACGGAGAAAACCCCACAGAAAAAGACTTAGTTTTAACAGAGGTAAATACCCTTGCGGGTAGATTGAGATTATTTTTAGAGCGATGGAAAAATATAACGTCCGATTCCAGGGTTTTGAGTTGGTTAGCGGGATATACAATCCCCTTTTCGAAACCGGTTTTTCAGATAAAAATTTCGAATGAACCTTCTTGGTCTTTGAAAGAACGGGCAGAAATTAGGGAACAAATTGAGAACTTAATTTCAAAAGGAGCTGTTAGTCAATGCCAAGCTTGTGAGGATCAATTCTTATCCGGAATTTTTTTAATCCCTAAACCAGACGGGTCAAAGAGGTTAATCCTTAATCTAAAGAAATTAAATAAGTTCATTAAAACAGAGCATTTTAAATTAGAAGATTATAAGATAGCATGCAAGTTGCTTAGTCGTAACTGCTAATTCATGGGTAAGCTAGATCTCAAGGACGCTTATTATTTAGTTCCCATTGAGCTCAATCACAGGAAATACTTAAGATTTTCATTTGAGGGCATACTTTATGAAATTAACTGCCTACCTTTTGGCCTTAGTACAGCTCCTTATGTTTTTACAAAAATCATGAAACCGGTGGTAAGTTGGTTACGAGAACTAGGCTATCTATCAGTTATTTACCTTGATGATATGCTTCTCCTCGGAAATTCGGAGGCAGATTGTTTAGACAATATTAAGGCATCAGAAAAATTATTAGAAAATCTAGGATTTATCATTAATGATGGGAAGAGTTGCAAAGTCCCGACACAGGTTTGTAATTTTTTGGGGTTCGTTTTAAATTCACGAGAAATGACACTAGAATTACCAAGGGAGAAGAGGGAAAGAATCCACGAGCGAGTCGAAAAGTTCAGGAAGTTAAAGAAGTGTAAAATCGAAGAGTTGGCACAACTAATAGGTTCTTTAGTGGCTTGCTGCCCGGCCATTCAATATGGTTGGGCGCATATTAAAAAGTTAGAAAGAATAAAATACTTAGGCCTTTTAAAAGCCAGTGGTAACTACAAGGCTATTATATGTTTAAATACAGAATTACAGGACGACCTTTTATGGTGGGCACGGAATGTGTTATATAGAGTCGCGAGTGTCGCGAATCGCGTGTACAAGTTGAATATTTTTTCAGACGCCTCTCGTACAGGTTGGGGCGTGTCGTGCGACACAGGTAGAGCTCATGGTCAATGGGATAATTCAGACAAATTACACCATATCAATTACCTAGAATTACTATCAGCTTTTTTCGGACTAAAATGTTTTGCTAGGGATCTCAGAAATTGCAATATTCTATTAAGGATTGATAATACGACAGCGATTTCTTACATAAACCGTATGGGCGGTGTTAAATTCAAGAAACTAAGTAGTCTTGCTAGGTCCATT